CCTGCTTCTTGGGAGAAGGGCAATGACAGGCCTAGACAGCATCTTGAGAAGTAGAGACGTCACCTTGCCAACAAAGGTCCGTATAGTTAAAGCCATGGTTTTCCCAGTAGTGATGTATGGAAGTGAGAGCTGGACCATAAAGAAGGCTGATCGCCGAAGAATTGATGCTTTTGAATTATGGTGCTGGAGAAGACTCTTGAGAGTCCCATGGACTGCAAGAAGAATAAGAATAAGAAGAAGTGTTTTCGAGGTTACCAGCATGAGTTTGACCAAACTGCGGGAGATAGTGGAGGACAGAGGTGCCTGGCGTGCTCTGGTCCATGGGGTCACGAAGAGTCAGACATGACTAAACAACAACATAAAGGTAATAGATCAGCAGGTGGCGCTGTGGTCTAAACCACAGAGCCTAGGGCTTGCTGATCAGAAGGTCGGCGGTTCGAATCCCCGCGACGGGGTGAGCTCCTATTGTTCAGTCCCAGCTCCTGCCAACCTAGCAGTTCGAAAGCACGTCAAAGTGGAAGGAGATAAATAGGTACCACTCTGGTGGGAAGGTAAATGGCATTTCCGTGTGCTGCTCTGCTTCACCAGAAGCGGCTTAGTCATGCTGGCCACATGACCCGGAAGCTGTATACTGGCTCCCTCAGCCAGTAAAGCGAGATGAGCGCTGCAACCCCAGAGTTGTCTGCGACTGGACTTAACTGTCAGGGGTCCCTTTACCTTTACCATAAAGGTATTAGATTAGATTAGTGGTTTCCAATGAGCTAAGTACTGCAGATCTCCTGTTTTTCAGAAGCCAAGCCATGGACCCCCTACTTTTGAAAATGTTGATATCTCTGTGGTAGGTTTTGTTATGTGAATGGTGCCACCATACTTTCCAACATGTCCTAGCACAAAACCGGGCCGTGCATCTTCCAAGCCATGCTCCCGCATGAGTCAGGTGACCTGCACATTTTTGCCTGAGAGCATGCCCCCTCCAAAATAACAGGAGGTCCGGGACAGTTGACAGGTACATGTCACCTGCCCCCTGAGTGGGTTACATGGGCCCCCCTGGGATCTGCGGACCACCAGTTGGGAACCACTGTTTTAGATGAAGTCAAGGAGGATAAGACTGTAAACAGTTAGTGGTAATGGCTGAATATATTATTACCTCCAGGATCAAAGACTCTGAATACAGGGTGGAACAAATATGGGTTATTGCCCTTAAATCCTGCCTTTGGTCTAACAACAAAGACCAATTGTAATTCTAAAACAGTATAAAAGGGGCATTTTTTTATTCATTTTGTGCCCGCTCCTGCTCTTGCCTTTGGTAAACAGAAGACACAAAAATATCCAAATTATTTGGTTTCATGATGTTCTGCCAACAGACTCCAATGAATAAAGGAATTACCGTAAATGTCATTTTTTGATGATAATAATAATAACAACACTATAATGTTTTTCACTTCTAAACCACTATATATAGTGACAATTTTTGCAAAGATGATAGTGAATAAACTGAAGATTAACTTGGAGAATGTAAAGGTTGTTTCTTATGTTTGTGTGTGTTGCTTTCAGCCAAGTTTGTGCTTCTCCGCCATGAAAATTTATGAGCTACAGAAGGTTCAAGAAAGATTTGATTGCACAAAGTGGTAGAAGAATCCTGTAACCCAAGGAAATCACGCTTCTTTACTATAAAGTTGCAATCCTATGCACACCAACTGAGCATTTACCTCCTGGAACTCATTAAGACTTACTTCTAAGTTGGACAAGGACCTGAACAGTTAGGATGTAGATACAGTGGAACCTCAGGCTGTGAACGTGATCCGTGCAGTGCCATGTCTGCACACGCGCATGACCCGATTTGGCGCTTCTGCGCATGCTCAAAGCGCAAGCTCCGAAACCCGGAAGTAACCCGTTCCGGTACTTCCGGGTTCAGCGCGGCTGTAACCCGATAACGCGTAACCCGCAGCGATCACAACCCGACGTATGACTGTATTGTTGAATGCAGGGGGCCTTAGTTCCAAATGAATGTATATTAGATCAGGCCTTTAATGGGATGTAGCACAGATGAAGAGACCAAATCCAAAAGACTTTCATCAAGGACTGATTCCCCGTTAAAACTACTTAATCAAGGTATTAATTTTATACCAGCATTTCCTTTCCTGAGCTATAGCAGAGTATTTTAAGATTATCCAATTATTGCTTAAGAAGCAGTTGAACATCACTAAGAACACATATCCCTCACCTGAGCTCCAGCTGCTATCAAGCAGCTTTGGAGCACATCTCTTTGAGAAACGTCTGCGCTCTAAACACAAAACGATCCTCATCTGGTTTAACAAATTTCCAAAGACCTCAGTAACTGGAGTAATTGTAATGCATATCCCCATTTCCCACCCACCCCATGCTTAAAGTACGGGCAGAGGTAGGGACCTCCTTCCTAGATTATTCCTAGGATGGCTCAGGGGTCGAATAACTCCATACCCTCCAACATATCTCCGATGAAAATAAGGACATCCTAAGGAACAGTGGGACATCCGGGGTCAAATCAGAAACTGGGACGAATTCCTTAAATCAAGGACATCCCTGGAAAATACAGACACTTGGAGGGTCTGGTTTCTTAGCTGAGTGGGTGCTGCTAAGAGAGAGAAGAGAGCAGGGCCTTCTCGGTGGTAACACCCACTCTATGGAAGTTCCTCTCAAGAGAAGCCTGCCAGCCTATCTCAGCCTCTGGAAACATGTATGTTCTTATTTCAGAAGACATTTCCTCTTTAAAGAAAACTATTATTATTTTTCTGCTCTGTGGAGCTTAGCCGTTCGAGTCAGGTACTTTAATTAATTGTTATGTTTTATTGATTTCTGCAAATTGTCTGAATGCATTTTTACTCATTTGTAAGCTTCCCCGAGGCCCTGTTTACAACATGTGTGTGGCAGGGTAGAAATGGAAATAAATAAACTCCTAACTGTCATTGACTGAACTAATTATGCCCAAATGGCTCCAAACAATTTAAATCAAGAATGTATTTGATGGAAGGACTCCTGAACAAAAGAGTTCAACAATTAATTACATTAATCAGAATTTTAAAAGATGGAGATTCCTTGGATCTTTACAACAGCAGCAGCAGCAGCAGGAACAAGAACAAACAGATGTTTTCTTGGCAGAAAGAGAAAGCAGCCATGGGAGTGTTATTTTTTATCAGTGGTGAAGTCATTCATGTCTAAAACATGTTAACATATTTATAGTTGATAAAGTATTCACTAGTGAAATACAGTACACTTTTGCCATCGATCCACTGCCAGGGTGCTGTTTTTCAAGGAGAATTCCCCCATGCAATATGAAAGTACTAGACAATATAAGAAAATTCCAGTCTTAAAAATGCATACAGTGGTACCTCGGGTTAAGTACTTAATTCGTTCTGGAGGTCTGTTCTTAACCTGAAACTCTTCTTAACCTGAAGCACCACCTTAGCTAATGGGGCCTCCTGCTGCCGCATAATTTTAGTTTAAGTTCTTGGGCAACATTTAGGCCACAACTTTATTGATTACAAAACAAATTGAGCGGTATTGGCCTAGGCATTGGTCAGGGACTATAACTGACTCCTGCCTCTATGGCTGGCAGTCTGAAAGGGTAAACACCAAACGAGGTTAGCAACATTGGTGAAGATCGATTGAAGCTCACCCCAGGGTTCCTCTGGTCCTGGCATTGCCCTAGCCCCTCAAGTGGACTTTGGACAAGATCCAGGACTCCCAGATTCCTTTACCCTATTTCTGGAGGGGCAGGTGATGGCCACACCTCCCCTCCCGCACATTTCTATAAACCAATGCCTAACCGCCAAACCTTACAAAGTTGTGACGATTGCTAAGGGGGTAGGCGAAAACCAAGTGGCTAAAGCCAATCTGCCAAATGGAAAAATTCCTAGCCAGCCCCTGCTCCAAAGCAGGCGACCCAATCCAAAGCAAGGCCAAAGCAGCAGCACCTAAAATAGAGAGGGAGGGCGGGTGTTCGGCAGCATGAAGCAAGTGCCTCACCCCCATCACGTTGCCACATTTATAGGTCCCTGGGATCACGCCACTCGCCCCAATTGGCCCAAACAGCCAAGTGCGATCCCAGGGCCCAAGAGACAAGGCTCGGGCCACGCCTAGCAACAACACACCCCGTGGGGGTGGCTTAAGGGTCCCGAGCACAACCAGGACCCTTGATTTAGGAGGATCCCATTTGCCTGGAGCTGAGGCAGCCTCAGATTAAGCAAGCAAGTGGGTGAGAGAGCCCAGCCAGCCAGTTCGCCAGCCCTTGCTCTTGGGAACGGATGGACAAGTGGGAGGCTGGGCAAGCAGGCTGGTGCAGCGCTGACCTTTCTTGTGCTTTCTGTGTGCGATGCCTGCTTGGAAGCTAAGTGCCTGGTGCCAAAGGGAGCCTTTCTGCCACGCAGGCCTGGCAGTGCCCATTGCTGCCACTGCTGTTTCCCAAGGAGAGTAAGGGGATGGCCTCACGTTCACCTTTGGGCAGTCTCCACCAAGCTGCTAAGGCTGGGAGCATCCTCTTCCCAGGCCCCTGGGGGGGCAGCATTGTAGGAAGCACCTTTCTTTGGGGTGGGGGGTAGCTCAGAGAACTGGGGCAGTGGCGGCAGCTGCCTGGAGGACTCCGAAGGAGAAGAGGCTGAAGGAACACTTGTGGCATTTGTATGGAGCCCCTGGTCATCTCACGGACTATTGACCCATACACCACTAATCTGCTGCCACCAACCAGGACCTCCCTGGTAAAATCACTTCAGTCTCAGTCAAGTTCTCAAGTTAATAAAGAAGAGTGTATTTTTATTCAGACACAAACTTTTACGGCATTCCAAACGTTGTTACTCTTTACTTTCTTAGTCTTATTTTCCTCTCTCTATCTCTTCTATCTCCCCTCACTCAAGAACCCAATGCCCTCTCTCTCTATTTCCAACTGCCTGCCAACTGCTTCTCCAACTGCCTTTCCCAACCAGCCAACCCACTAAAACCAACCAACTACCCACCAACAACTCTAACAAACCTCGGGCTAAGCCCTTTTATACACATGTAGGCTCCGCCTCCAGCTTTCCTATTGGTCTACATTTTTAACCCTTTCCCCCCTTTACAGACAGGCTCTAAACGAATGGGCAAATGCCACAACACTTCATGAGGGAAAGTGTTTGAAAATGGATGAGGGGCTGCCGGCTCTTCAGGCGAGTGATTACATAACTGGACTTCTGAGCCAGTTCCATCTGACAAGCTGAAATGCGTGTGCTGGTAGAACAATCTCTTTAGGCTTAACGCCTTCCAGTTGTAAGAATCGTCATATTACTTAGGTACTCGGGACTTGAAAGGGGGATTTGCTGGGTTTGGTGTTCACATTTTATTGTTGTACAAGCAGAGATGGCGCCCTGCCTCTGGGTTGTGCTGGTAACAAATCTGCTGCCCGTCTGTATGATCATAGTTGCTTTGAATAAATCCAGGAGATGGAAAGAAATCTTTCTTTCTTTCCGCTAGGCTGACCACAGTATAATGATCCATAACATTCTCCTTGGAAGATGCCTTACTTATAGCAGGTCGGATTATTTGTTCCTCTCCGAATGGCAGGGTCTCAGATAAAGGAATTCAATATCACCTTATACCTGTCCTTTCATTTTCTTTTTAACTGGAGATGCCAGGGGTGGAACCCAGGACCTTTTGTATGGAGGGATCACAGAGTTGGAAGGGGCCCTGAGGATCATCTAGTCCAACCCCCTGCAATGCAGGAATATTCAACTGTCCCATGTGGGAATCGAACCTGCAACCTTGGTACTATCAGTACATGCTCTAACCAACTGAGCTACCCAGGCAGGGGCTCTGCCACTGAACTACAGCTCGTCTCCTAAAAGCAGAAATGTTTGACCTTAATCCCTGTGCTCATAGATTGTATGAATCACTACCCCACCCCCCAAATTATCAGGTCTACAGTACTGGGTGTGGGGGCAGAAAGTCATGTATAGCCAGTGCGTCACCAGGAATTCCTCTTTTAAACTATCATTTTCACTTCCAGTTACCACTGATCATTGCTAGCCTTAGCCCATCAACTCCCAGCCTGGCTTACCAAAGATAGCAGCTGTTGAATAATGTGCTAAATATTTTTTCGCCTCTTCTCATCTCGCTGAGTACACCTGAGCAGTGCAGAGCACTCTCTGCCCCTCGCCGCCTAATGGGGTCTACAATTACCCAAGTCAAATACTAGATTTCACAAAAAACAAATCCATTTTGTTTCATTAGATGTTTTATCAATCATGATGTGCAGAAATGGAGGTCGCAACCACAGTTTCCCATCTCACAGGCAGAGGAATTGCCAGCTTCAGCTGACAGCGGGGAGAATTTGGGTGAGTCTTCTGGTTTTACTGCCAGGGAGTGGGAGAGAAACCTGTGAAGTTTTCTGCCTCAGGAGTCAAAATAACTTGCGCATTGTGGGTCTTGACCCGAGGGAAAAGAAGACATTTGCCGCTCTGCCTCAAATGGCAAAATGTCTTGGTCCAGCCTCATGAAAGCTGCAGCACACTGACCCAAGCGGCAAGTCTATCCACCTCATTGCATAATATGAAAGGACAGGGCTTTGTGCTGGGAGGCAAAGAATGGTTCTGTTTCTCCTGAAAAAGTAGCTGCTCCTTTTCCTGCAGAAATTGCTGACTGCATAGCAATCAGGTCAGCTCGGGAACTGGGCCTGGTTACAGCCGACCGGCACCTCTTGATGGACATGTCGCCAGCCTGGCGTTCCTGTTGGATCTCTGTCTCTGCTTTAAACAAAATGGCGACTAATTCTAATCCACCGTAGTAATCGTCAGTTGGGCAGGGGTATATTGTCCTACTGAACTAAATAAAGGAGAGTAAAGGAGGTTTGATATTTTGTCTGCGCACCTTTGGAGATAAAGCACTCCTTCTCAACAGAGGAAGAACTTACCACACAGTGTTATTAGCTGTGGTATTAACTGGCCAAATTAAAATTCAGCCAAGTAGACTGCATATTTAAAATGGCTGGCTGAATATAGCGATCATTTGTCAATGTCCTCTGCTGAATTGTTAGTGAGACAGGCCTGAACGCATTATTCGAGACAGCAAATGAATAGTTCCAGTTGCTATGGATACAGCTCTGGTGCGGGGTAAATGTTCGCCTCTTGGCTCTCCTCCCTACTCTGTTTTTCCCCCCTTTTCTCTTTCTTTTTTTACGTTCAGATTTGGAACATTGCAGAATGCAGAGGGTAGCGCTACAACGAAGCTCTGAAAAGTCGTTTTGTGACTTGACTGATTAGCAGGTGTATTAGGATTGATGAACAATTATCTGACCCGAAGTAGTGGCCATATGATATCTCCTCATTAACTCTCCCCGTTTTTCCATGGTTCAGCCTATGGGATCAAACTGACGTAACTTACAGTAGGAATCTTGTTGTTGTTGTTTAGTCGTTTAGTCGTGTCCGACTCTTCGTGACCCCATGGGCCAGAGCCCGCCAGGCACTCCTGTCTTCCACTGCCTCCCACAGTTTGGTCAAACTCATGCTGGTAGCTTCGAGAACACTGTCCAACCATTTCATTCTCTGTCGTCCCCTTCTCCTTGTGCCCTCCATCTTTCCCAGCATCAGGGTCTTTTCCAGGGAGTCTTCTCTTCTCATGAGTGGAAGATCTGTCCTTCTAGTGAGCACTCAGGGCTGATTTCCTTAAGAATGGATACGTTTGATCTTCTTGCCGTCCATGGGACTCTCAAGAGTCTCCTCCAGCACCATACATTCAAAAGCACCAATTCTTCGGCGATCAGCCTTCTTTATGGTCCAGCTTTCACTTCCATACATCACTACTGGGACAACCATAGCTTTTACTATACGGACCTTTATTGGCAAGGTGATGTCTCTACTTTTTAAGATGCAGTAGATTACAGTAGGAATACTGAGCCTTTAACGTCTAGCGTTTATTGACTATAGGTGCACCTCCTTCAAGCACAACCTCAGCACAATACACAATGAACTTGTGCCAAAACGGTTCACACAGGACTAGGGCAGGCTGCAAGATGCTCTGTTACTTGGTTCAGGGCGGCCATCACCTGCATTTTTAACCTTTGGCCTAACGCATGCAAAATTCAGGTCTATGATTAGCATTTCTGGAAAAGGACAGGCTTTTCTACAGAGCTACTTTTAAAGCTCTGTGAAACTCGGGTTATATGAGCACCAAGAGGTTTAGGCAGAGATTTAGGCTCAACTCCATTTACATTTACATTTTATTTAAGAATCAAGACAGAGAAATTCAGATATTGGACCCTGCTTCCCCAAAGAAAATAAAAGCACAGAATTAAGTAGGTCGCCTTAACTGGTCAGGAAACTTACAAAAAACAACCAAACCCCAAATACAACTACTCACATCCCAAAGTGGATGCCACACAAACTACTGGAGGGCAGCCTGGGTTTTCATGGTTGCAGATTCTGGTCTTGATTCTCATAAAGAACAAAGGGAATTGGAGCGGGAGGGTGGAATTAAAATGCTCCAATCATATCGCCTGGCATGGTCCTGTCTTCAGGTTGGTTCAGCATCAGTCTTAATTAATAATCATGGCAGAGGAGATGGAGCCCCGTTTGGATACAGAATGATACAGCAGAGCTTTGGTTTTCTAACATAATCCATTCTGGAAGACCGGTCAACTTCCAAAAAGTTCAAAAACTGAAAGCAGAAGCCTCAATACAACAGGGAAACCCAAAATGGAAGCCGCATGGCACGTTCGACTTCTGAAAATCGTTCAAAAACCAAAGCAGTTGCTTCTGGGTTTTCGGCGTTTGAAAGCCAAAACGTTTGACTTCTGAGACACTCAAAAACTGAGGTTCCACTGTATAGATTTTGGTGTCTGTAAAGGTTTGAGGGAAGCTCTCCTAAAGGCAGAGTAAACAGCCTAAGGCCAATGGAGGCTGGAACACAGGCTGTGGGGAGAGACAGACCTCTGCTTTGGGGTCTGTTTGGGTTACTTCATATTTTCTAAGATGCCGAGCCTGTGCTGGACAGCACAAAACACTGTATGGGTATTTTGCTTGTATCTTTGATGCTTATGTTCTGTTTTTGAAGAGTTATGCCAGTAAAACTTTGAATAATACTTCTATGGGCCTGGACATAAAAGGAGTCAGTTCTCATGCTTCCAGTCACTTCAGACAGCACAATATTAATATCTGCACAGTGCTTTCCTACCTACCAGCCTGTTTTTCTGCACTCTGTTTCCCTTCAGCTGTCCACACTACTCTATATTGTTTTCTTCCTGGGTTGCCACTGAACTTACCAACCAAGAACTCCTCTCTTAATCTTTTTCCTCCCCTAACTGTTGTTGTTGTTTAGTTGTTTAGACGTGTCCGACTCTTCATGACCCCATGGACCAGAGCACGCCAGGCACTCCTGTCTTCCACTGCCTCCCGCAGTTTGGTCAAACCCCTAACTGTACTTGTGTCCAATTCAGTTCCCCTCTTGCTTTCACTGTGTCTGTCATCCTTCTGTGGGATTTTTCTTTCTTGTCCTTTTGTCACTTTCAAGGTGGGATTTTTAAAAAGTCATGATGAAAACTGACTAACATTTTAGTACTTATTTCTCTTAACATAGTTTTTGTATACAACTTGACCTAATACGTACTTTTTGTGTGTGTAAAGCAACGCTCCCTAATATGGTGCATTTTTAATGTCATTTTCACCAATACATGCTTTTTTTATGTGCATTTTACCCAGGCATGTGAATTTGCCCTGGCTGGATAAGTGCACTGCAAAATACAGAGAATGTTTTGGTTCACATATTGTTTTGAAAAGTGAAAATCAGGTAAGGATTGCCCTTAAACGTTAACTTTTTAAAAACTCTTTTTGGTTATTGTTAATTTTAGTTATCTTTTAAGGGCTTAAAATCACTTGTTTTAAAAACCTGTTTTCTAATTGGTAAATTTTAATATTTCTTGCAAACCGCTTAGAAATTTTATTGCACTCAAGAGCTCTGTTAATTTTGCTAAATAATAAATAGATGCAGACTGAATCAAATTCCCCCCTCACCCCATTCCTCCTAGCATCCCCAGCCTTCTTCCTGAAAGGCTACTCCATGATGACCACCAAAGTCTATAATTTTTACTGAACATCCCAGTTCCAGTTATTCTGTAGTACCCTTTCCTCTTAGTGATTTCACAAGCCCTGTCAGTTGGCTTGATCTTTAACCTATTATATTTATTTATTTATTCTTTGAATATTTCTATAATGCCATATCATGAAATTATCAATCCAGCTATTAAAACAGAAAACTTCATTTGAACTGTAAAATTTTAACTTTTAAAATAAAAACATATAATCATTTACGGGGCTAATCAACAATAGCAATTTAAACAGTTGCAAAGGCTTGTCAGAATAGAAAGGTCTTTGAGAGACGCCTGAAAGTCAAAAGCAGGATGCCTGCTAAATTTCTGCTGGAAGAGTGTACTACTACTATTATATTATTATTATTATTATTATTATTATTATTATTATCACAGTCTCTTGGGAGTTGGACATGCCTGGCGTAGAGGATAACCATGTTGTAAGAACTGGGCTTCCCTCCATCTTAAACTCAGGTGTAAATATCTGAACAATTCATATTTTTCTGCCACATCTTGGTTCTCAAAGGAACACAGACCTGGCATGACCGCCTGGAATCTTTCTGCTGCTCCGCGGAGAGTGGGAGGTGGCCAACTTTTGTAACAATATCAACACGATCACTTTGAACATGGCCTGATATGGGGAGCCAGTGCAGATGTTTCAGCAGACGTGTTGCATGCTGTCAGCCACTGACCCCCCCCCACCCCATCTGCAGTCTAGCTACTGTATTCTGGACCAGCCTCAATGGCAATCCCATATAGAGCACCTTATAGAAATCCAGTCTTGCGGTTATCAATTACTTAGAACCAACATTTCTGATTAGGGGTCACCACAAGAACTAGAATGAAGAAGAAGAGTTTGGATTTGATATCCCGCTTTATCACTACCCGAAGGAGTCTCAAAGCAGCTAACATTCTTCTTTTCCCCCCCCCCCCACAACAAACACTCTGTGAGGTGAGTGGGGCTGAGAGACTTCAGAGAAGTGTAACTAGCCCAAGGTCACCCAGCAGCTGCATGTGGAGGAGCGGGGAAGCAAACCCGGTTCTCCAGATTACGAGTCTACCGCTCTTAACCACTACACCACACTGGCTCCCATCTTCTTTCCAGAGGGCCCAGTACAATGAGGCAATTAAGGAACAGACCACAATCCCATGTTTTTGCTTTGTTTTGTTTTTTACATCTACCTTCAGGCTAGATGAAGGTTTAGGATGAGTCCTTTTTTAAAATTAAAATACATTGCAGGGTTTTCCCTCTGTCAGTGCCAATGGTTTTAATTTATTTCTTAGCGGGGATTATGTCAGATATGAGATAAGATTAGGCTCGACACGTTTCTCTTTCTCACAGGTATAGCATGATGATAACATGATTATACTCCATCCCCGTTACTAGATCTGGAGATAAGTCGTTGGGGCAGCCATTCCTTTGTCCCTCGTGACATGAAAGGCTGAGGAGCTGTATCAGTAGTAATTAACTTGTGCCATTATCCCATGTGGGGATCAGCGATTGGCAGGAAATGAACCTTTGTCAGCGCTTGCATGCACAGAAGTGCTAAAGCCAAGATATACGACATTGTTCAGTGTCTCTCCTGTAAGCATTTCAGATTTTGAAAGAAGCTAATCTCCTGCGCTATAGCAACTGACAGCAAGCATGTGGAGGTTCATAGTTTCTAGGCAAGGGATTCATTTACACCACGTTTGCCCATTTTAATTCAGCTAACACCCTGATCCTACAGACCTGATAGTCATCAAAATCCCTCCGATTTCAATGCAACAAAGAGGGCTCCTTCACAAGCCACATTTTACTGAGTGCCCTTGCTATTGGCTTCCACAGGTATGGCTTCTCAAATGCCGGCCCTTTGAATCAGTGAAGGCTAACATGTAGCCCTACAGATATTGTTGGGCTCCTAGTTCCCAGTACGCTCAGTGGTCAAGGATGATGAGAGTTTTACCTCAACATCTGAAAAGCCACTGCTTCAAATCATGAGGAAACTACCGTATTTTTCCGTGTATAACACACTTTCCGGTGTAAAAGGTAAAGGTACCCCTGCCCGTACGGGCCAGTCTTGACAGACTCTAGGGTTGTGCGCCCATCTCACTCAAGAGGCCGGGGGCCAGCGCTGTCCGGAGACACTTCCGGGTCACGTGGCCAGCGTGACATCGCTGCTCTGGCGAGCCAGAGCTGCACACGGAAACGCCGTTTACCTTCCCGCCAGTAAGCGGTCCCTATTTATCTACTTGCACCCGGGAGTGCTTTCGAACTGCTAGGTTGGCAGGCGCTGGGACCGAACAACGGGAGCGCACCCCACCACGGGGATTCGAACCGCCGACCTTTCGATCGGCAAGCCCTAGGCGCTGAGGCTTTTACCCACAGCGCCACCCGCGTCCTGTGTATAAGACACCCCCTATTTTTGGGGACTCCAAATAAAGAAAATGGGGAGAAATGACCCCATGTATAAGATGACCCCCCTTTTCTTAACATAATTTTTAAAGAAAAAAACCTAGTCTTATACATGGAAAAGTATGGTATTTATTGCTGCACATGGGTGATTTATGGTAAATTGTACAAATGAGTCTATTTCTTAAATTCATATCACATACACACCATACATTTAAAGGACTCTTACACCATTTTAACCATCATGGCTCCCCTCCCCAAAGAATCCTGGGAATTGTAGTTAGTTAAGGGTGCTGGGAACTGTTGCTCTGTGTGGGGCCTCCTAGCAACTTGCAGTACCCTTAACAAGAAGCTTGCAGCATTGTAACCTGGAAGCTGCTTCTAGCCTCAAGCGATGCTATCAGGTCCTAGCTCAGCTAGGGAATCTGGAGTTGCCAATTATAGACAAGTCCAACCTGAGCATCTGGAAATCTCTCACCTGAAGCTTCTGCCCAGGAACTCTTAAGAAGAGTTGCAATGTTTTGGGATCCGCACCAAAGAGTTGGAGCTAGTCTTCATTGAGTCAGTTACCATGCACTGAATGTTCCAGTGTAACACCTAGAAATGCCAGACTGAATGCAGCCAGTAGATATCTGAAAAACAGTGTGCCATTCAGGTATGCTCATTGGGGGAGCAGAGATTGTCTGTACAGTAAGTACCTGCTGAGTAAATAGCAATCAATGGCAAATATGTAAAAGTAGATACACTTTTAGACCTATGGTAACTTTGCTGCCAAAAGGTTTCCAACGAGTCGTTGGAAGATGTTTCCCAGTTTCCCCAGTTTCCCAGATGTTTCCCAGTTTGCTTCTGTATTGGAGTTGGTTTTAGATGTTTTAAATGCTTTCTCATCCAGGAGTTCATTGCCCAGGTCTCCTTTGGGAGGCAGGGAGAGATCTACATTTTAGTAATAGTGGCATCCGTCCATCTCAAGCAACAATGGAGTGTGCTTCTAGGGGTGAAGTCAAACCACCACATTAGCAGGACTGAAGGGTGCAAGCCTGGGCAATGTGTACGGAGGTCCTGGGCTGCCCAGATGACAGGACCCTCCTCTCAGCTTCGCTGACGTGGTGCAAAGAAAAGCAGAGCAAAACGTTTGGCACTGTCACGGTCTGGTCTATGGGTGATCGAAGTCCTGGCTGAGGATGTCGGGACCGGGGGCAAGATGGCGGGGTGGGAGCAGGAACGAGAGTCCAGAAGCCAGGGGTCCGAGGATCAGGAAGCAAGGAGTCACGAAGTCAAGGGTCCGAGGGTCGAGAAGCAAGGAGTCACGAAGTCAAGGGTCCGAGGGTCAAGAAGCAAGGAGTCAAGCAGCCAAGGTCCAAGGATCAGGAAGCAAGAAGCCAAACGCAGCAAGGCAGGAAACGAGTTGCTGTGGCAAAGAGCTGAAGGGAAATGCTGACCTTATATCCCTTCCCGGCTCTTGCCACCAGGTGCAGTGAGTTACCAAGCGGCCTCACCTGTGCGGCCATGCCTTGCCTCTCCAGAACAATCTTAGGAAGGCCCCAGTCCTGCAAAGCCCTACTGGGCACAGGGCCTGGCTCCTGCACGCACTCCTGACAGGCACCAGCTTGGCTGCAGGAGTTGCCAGAAGGAGTGCCATACAGCCGTCTAAGAGACTCTGCTCTGGATTTGTGTAGGGTTTACTCTTTAGACTTTTCTTCTTCTGAAGATATCCAGCAAGGCAGCAGAGGTTTAAGATCAGCGTTTTCCTTTGCTGAAATACACTACCCTCCCAGGTGGACGAGCTCCATCTGCCCCATTTGCATTCCCCTCTGCAGCATGTGCAGAAACCACACTCTTGACTGTTGCTGCCACTATTAGTCTTGTCTGCTCAATCTACCGGAACCTGTCTTTGCATGCAGGGGAAGTCCTTAACTCACTGAGCATTTGAGACCCACTGACAACCCTCACCTGGTTTAACCAGCCAGTCGAAGCCATGCTGACAGCTTCTAAGAGCCATGAGTGAGATTTGAGTGCAGGGTGGGATAGATATATAATAATAGTTGTTGTTGGCACCCGTCCATCTCAAGAAACAATGGAGTACGCCTCTGGGGGTGAAGTCAAACCAGGAGTTGCTGGAAGGAGGTGTAGAAGGCACCATCCAACTGTATTAGAGACTCCACCCCGGATTTGTGTAGGGTTTACTCCTTAATCTTTTCTCTCTCCCCAAAGATATCCCATGAGGCAGTGGAGGTTAGATGGGCTCCCTTCCCATGTTGACGAGTTCCATCTGCCCTTTCACAGTATATAAGTTGTTTAAATGAATGAATG